GGCATCGGACCCCGCCCAACGTACGATAACATATATCAAATAAACACATACACGTGCGATAATCACATAGATACATAGCATACAAATATCCATCAGGCCCGGCCTGGCATCGAGCCTTAACCCGAAAAACATATAAACATTGGCACATGCAAGAGTCACAAACAAATCTAGCATACTAACAACATAACATAAACATGGGCCGACATTGGTGCCTTTGACTCGCTAAACCCGGTAAGGAAACTCACCTCGAATGCAAAAGCTCACTGAAAGAATTCCCTAGCTGCTACCCTGACGACACCTCCGAACTATCAGATCAAAATAACACCCAATTAGCAATTGGGTTCCATTCAAGGTCCACCAACCATACTTGGGGTAAATGACCATTTTACCCCTGACCCAACATGAACCACAACTGAGGCACAAATTCAAAAATCCAAAAGATCCACAAAGGCCCACTAATGGCCCAAATTTTCAAATTGGGCCCAATCCCATATGGGCCTTATCCTAAGCCCATATTTTCCTTAGATCCAACTCAGATTACCTCAAGCACCCACCTGGGACAAACTTGGTTAAAGACATAAACCAAAAGACAAGATCCATAATCCATATCGACCCAACTCGCCGTGTTGTCTAATCAACTCGCCGAGTTGAGCCTCATCAACTCAGAAATGGGGTAAACCAAAACAACTGGCCGAGTTGTCCCACAAACTCGCCGAGTTCGCCCAAGACCCAACAACTTAATGCATTAAGCTGCCTTCACCGAACAAGAGCTCCAAATCTCAGATCTCGACCAAAATGAGATCAAGAAGGGTAAAGTTTCCAACTTTACCCCTAGGAACCACCTAAATGGGTCCAAACCCAAAACCTAGACTTGAAAGAGTGAGGGCTTAACCATTAAGCACTTAATCATCAAGGACAATACCCCAAAATGCAAATCTGACCCCCTAAGGCTAGATGGTCGTGTAAAGTTTCCATCTTTACGCTTAAGCATGACTAGAAGGAGCTCAAAGCTCAAAAAGGGAAAAATGAAAGACTTAATGAATGCATGAAGCCCTTAAACCCATAAAGTTGGCACCTTTATGCCAAAAGAGCTCATAAAGATCATAGATCCGAAAGAATAAACACTTGGGACTTCTCCTTCCCCAACAACCACCTATCCATGGCTAAAAGCATATAATCTAACCCATGAAGACATCTAAGCGAATAATAAGCAAAGTTAGAACTTTATACCCGAAATATGCTAGAAATGGAGTAGAGAATCAAGATCTGAAAGCTCCTACTTGAACCACCACCTTGCACCAAGCTTCTCTTCCTTCAATGAGCTTCAAACACACCAAAACACACCCACAATGAATTCACAACACTCAAGGATGCTCTAGGGTTTTGAGATTAGGGTTAGGGACTATGGAGGCTGGGAAGGAGGCCAACACCTGGGACTTAAGGTGTTTAAATAGGATGCAAAACCCTAAAATTAGGGTTTTCTCAATCAGCGTCCAACTCGCCGAGTTCCCTTCACCAACTCGCCGAGTTGGTCCATAAAAACACGCGACCCAAAAGCCTCCAACTCGTCGAGTTTCCCACCATGAAATCGCCGAGTTGGTCCCTAGGAAAGGGGATTTATCTCCACAATTAATCTTCTAGATTCCGGGTGTTACAACTTGTTTGTTATTATTACTATGGTACTTGTAAATTGTGTTTTTTTCTATCTTTGTTATATGTAACAAATATTAGGGCAATAATAATATTTTCCATTAGACACTGCAAATCAATTACAAACATAACTAACTGCAAATACATTAGCAATAAAACAACCATCAAAGGGTCTGGTATTTCCCATTCTGATGGAGGGGGGAAGAGGGTGCACAATTTGTGTCTGGTAGGCAGTCTGAAACACATCAGCCCGATAATATATCTGAACCATATAAGGTAATCCATGGATGTTCGAATGACGTGATGCCGCAATTGCATGACCGCACGTTATACCCAGACTGCGCCATTTCCCATATGAACATGTATAACGATTCAGATCTACAACACAAGTTTTTTAAAATCAAAAACTTGATAAATATCGGACGGGAACAGAGACGGGATCTCTGGCAGGATCTTTGTTGCTTGCCACCGAACAGACTTTTGCATCCTTTTATGAAGCACCATTTCAATATACAGGGTGAGTATGGTACTCAACCTCCCTGAAAAGTAAATATGATCAAATAAGGTTCTTGTACAAGTAATTAAATAATTTAATATTGCACCCGATATTTTACCTGCCATTAAACTGCGTTCAACGAAAGTTCGTTGAATGTAGTCACAAATTGCCTCAGTAAGCGTTATAATCGGTACATTGTGTTGATTTACCGATAACACCAAAAAAATTGGGGAGCATCACTGTTGATTACATTCCAACAGATGTTAGGGAAATAGACTCTTGCCCATTTCACATGACCAATGTTGACAAACACTTCACAAGCATCAGGGGTTAGCCAACATAAGTTTTCTTCAAAATCAGACACAGTATATGAGTTGAATGTCATCCAGTTAAAAGGTTCTAATGTTCTGTCAGAGACGCCTCTTATACGCTTATACTTGAACACACTTTTAAAAGCATACCCATGATAAGAATCAAGGAATACATGATCTATGCAAGAACTAACTACATCTTCCATATTGGTTATGAACGATACTTCCCTCCCCTGTCTAAGAGCTTCTTTTAACCTCATCGGGAACCAGGTACAACGATAGATATTATTTTCCACGTCCAGACCAAATGCTATAGGGAGGGTCTAGTTGTTCCCGTCCATAGCAACTGCTACAAACATTGTTTTTAGGTACTCCCCTCTAAGACGGACACTCCATATGAAGATGACAGACAAGAAGCATCCTATGAATGCATGAACTTGTATTTTTTTGGGAACACAAACCAATTAGTTTATATGTAGAAACATTATCAATATTAAAGAAATAATAGAAAAATGGAAAACAAATATACCACCAATCCAATAGCCACAAAACAAACTTCGAAACGATCCATCAAATCAGTTTTGATGTGAGTGTAAGTATGCAGGTTGGTTCGCCTAAGCCTGTGAAGGTAAACAGACAAGTTGATAAAGCTATCTTCGTGCTCACTCTATGAGAAACTCATTTTGAAGCAGTTATAAGAGATAATTACGAATTACTTTGTTTGCCTAAGGTTGTGAAGGTAAGATTTCAAGCACATGCGGACACATATATATGTAGAGACGAAAATTGAGGTTTTAATCTGAAATGCAAGGTCTGAAATGTGTCTCCGGAATACGATCTCCGGAACGGATACAGTCACTCCAGAATGCTATGTTCCGGAGCATGTGGTTATTTTACCCAAAAAAAAAAATTATTGGTTGTTTTTATTAAAATTATAGTATATAAGGGTTAGATTACTCAATTTCCCTAAAAAAAACATTTTTAAAGCTAATAAAAAAAACTTTATACAAAGCTATATTTGAGATACTCAAAGACAAAAGTACTAGAGAAAAGCTTTTAAAATTCCAAAATATCATTTTACCGAATCGAGAAATGGTTGTATACTTTGTATGATTGAAAATTGGGATAATGACTTAAAAGAGTAACATATTATTCAATTTGTACACATTTGGTCACTGAGTTTTTTTTTCGTCCACATTTACCACTTAAACTTGTTAAACTGTACACATTTAGTCCTTATGACCTGTTACTCCAGGTTAACCGGGAAAAATGACTTGATAGGGTAATATATTTTTCATTTTGTACACATTTAGTCCTTAATATTTTTGTACATATTTAGTCATTAACATTTTTTTTTTGTTTCAAAATAAGTCCTTTTTTTGTACTCATTCAGTACTTATTAATGATTTTCTTTAGGTTTTTTTCACGACATCTTACGTGAGACAATCATTGATGAGGTGCTTGGGGTTGTTGATGCTTATGTCCAATGCGATCTCGACTGCTTGGTTGCGTAAGTCTTGTGGTTTGGCTTAGGTCTTGTATTTTGAACATCGTAACTTCTTCATACGATATCAGATTTTAAGGATCTTTATCCACGTGTTCATTTTTTGAGTCTACTACAACTTTCATTAAGATTACTCCCGTTAAAATGTAATATATTTTTACTAACGATTTTTTAAAAAACATACATACATGCATTCATAAAAAACGTATGGACAGGGGAAGACGCAGTAATACATAGTACGTGTTGCCGAGATGAAATATGTGTTGCCGATACATGGAAAATAGGTATAAACGTAAAAAAAAAGCGAAAAATTTTCCACTGCGAACAGAAAAAACAGGTGTTGTCGGTGCAACACCGGGACCATACTAAATCCGCCACCACGTATGGATATAAAAATCGTAAGTAAAAATATATTATTTTTTAATGGGAGTAATCTAAATGAAAGTTGTAGTAGACTAAAATACGAACACATGGATATAAAGATCGTTAAAATCTGAGATCATATGAAGAAGTTATGACATTCAGAATAAATGACCTAAGCAACCAAGTAGTCGAGATCGCGATGAATATAAGCATCAAAAGCCTCATACACCTCATTAATGAATGTCCCACGTAAGATTTCGTGAGAAAAAACTAAAAAATCATTCATAAGTACTGAATGAGTACAAAAAAATGACTTATTTTGCAAAAAAAAAAAGGACTAAATGTGTACAAAGTGAGAAATATATTACCCTATTAAGTCATTTTTACCGGGTAACCTGGAGTAGCCGGTCATAAGGACTGAATGTATACAGTTTAACAAGTTTAAGGGGTAAATGTGGACGAAAAAAAAACTCAATGACCAAATGTGTACAAATCGAAAAATATATTACCATTTTAAGTCATTATCCCTTGAAAATTTTAACAAAAATTAATGCATAAAAAATCTTATGTTCCGTGATAAAACTGAAAATTACAGAAGTTAAAGGACAAAAAAAGTCATTTTTACCTAATAGAGCAAAAAATATGATTTTCTACATTTGATTTTTCCAATCTTTTTGTTTGATGGAGAGACTTGTTGGGTGCCGACTTTATTGGTGGGGAGAGGAGAGCGACTGAGTTAAGAAGAGACAGATCTTATGAGAAAAAAGTCACACGTCAATCAATTATTGCCAGCTCTAAACGTATCTCCGCCGTGATTGCCACGTCTTCACCCAAATCTAATCAGAAAAAGATATCCGATCAAACATCTTTCTTGCTTTTCCGGTGCTCGCTTCAATTGGGGAAGATTCGTTAGGTATTATCCTTCTGGGTTTATCATATTCCGATGAAAGAGTACCGAATCAGGCAAGTTCTGATTTATTTTTCATTAGTTTGATCTTATTTCAAGATTCTCGATGTGGGTTTCTTCTCTGGATCTTTTTTATTCGGTTTTATTATTCGTATGTTGTTCCCACCATCATCGGTTGTCGTTTCTCGAGATCTTTTGAGCTCAACTTGAGGCTACTAATGATTCAGATATTTATTGTGATTGATGGTGAAAGTTGCCGAAATTGTGGTGTATGATGTAAAAGGGGAACAAGTTGATTCCTTTATGCATCATGCTGAATGGAGTATGACTTCGTTCTTAGTCAGATAAAATTGGCTTCTAGTGCTTTCTTTGATCATATCCTGTAGTATTCCCTTAAAAGAATCAAAGATATTTCAAAATTCAAACCCAATTATTTATTCATGTGGATAAGTGAGCATCTGATGCCATCATGATTCATACCAAACCTTGATTCTTGTAAAGTCTGTTGTCCTTTTCTCGATTCTTATATGTTTTAAAACGCATTGTTTATTTGAGTGGATAGGTAACCCCCATATTTTAATTCTTTCTGTCACTTGTTCTTCAATCTTGATCATCACTTACACATTTCTTCTAGTTTACCCACTCATACATATAAATTCAATAGGTATCGTAGCATAATCATCAAGTAATTCAAAGATTCGTCACAAGAAATGGAGAAGAAACAGAAGAAGTTTCTAACAGTTGCACCCTTCGAATGCGCATGGCGTGATGATTTGAGATTCAAAGAAGCTGGAAGAGGGTGTGTCGCATTTGAAGCATTTGCTCACAATGACGTCACTGTAGTTTTCCGAGAACAATTAGGTAGTCAACACTACCATTACAAAAGAGACATCAGTCCTCATTATACAGTAATCATAGGTAGTCATAGAAACCGAAGGCTAAAGATTGAAGTAGATGGAATCACCACAGTCGATGAAGCAGGTTTAGGTTTATGTTGTTCTTCAGCATTTCAAAGTTATTGGATAAGTATCTGTGATGGGTTGATTAGCATTGGAAAAGGAAGGTACCCTTTTCAAAATCTCGTGTTTCAATGGCTTGACACAAAACCCAATTGCAGTGTTCAGTATGTCGGACTTAGTAGTTGGGATAAACACGTTGGTTACAGAAATGTTAATGTGCTTCCATTAACACAAAACCATATTTCCCTTTGGAAGCATGTCGATTATGAAGAATACAAGGGAGAAGACGATATGGAAGAAGATTTGAGGGACGAATTCGGTAACTTCGATAATCATCAGGGGCTTGGAAGTTTTCTTGAAAATTGGGAATTATTCGATGTGTATTTCATCGTGGGTAACGAGGAAACACTTGTTCCTGCTCATAAAGTGATCCTTGCAGCAGTCGACAATCTTGATTCAAGCTTGTTAAATCAAGATTTTATCTCAATCAAAGATGTTACTTATCCAGTTCTTCATGCGTTTCTTCGGTTTATCTACACAGGCTTTACCCAGGTAAATTTGACGCATTTGTAACAGAAAGTCACTTACTTTCTCATAAATTTATAAAAAAACTTTAATGATTCTCATGTGTTTTATAGATTCCAGAATCGCTACTGAGCTCTCTGAGGGATCTAAGTGTTCGATTTGGAGCAACTTCATTGGTGAAACAATGTGAAGAAGTGATTGAGCGATTCAAATTGAATAAAAAGCTGTTTGATTCAGGAAAGAACATAGAGATATCATACCCTAGCTCTCAGCCTCATTGTGGTGTTGCGCCCTTTCCTTTGGGACTTCCTGTGAATGTGCAAAGACTTGAACAATTTCACACAACAGGCGAGTTTAGTGATGTCGATGTTAGCATTGAAGGCCATGGTCTTATTGCTCGATCTCATAAAGTCATTCTTGGTTTGTGGAGTCTCCCATTTATGAAGGTGAGCTAATCTTTTCATCTGCTGTTCATCTTTACATTGCTAGTATCTAAAAAAACAATTAAACTAGCAGATGTTCACAAATGGAATGAGTGAGAGTGTATCCTCGGAGATTTGCTTAAAAGAAGTCACATCACCAAAAGCATTCAAGATCATGATCGACTACTTCTACAATGGAGGATTGAACTTAGAAGACACAGTCGATACCAATATCTTGCTACTTGAGCTTCTTCTATTAGCAGATCAATTTGGGGTTTCTCTCCTTCATCAAGACTGCTGCAAAACGCTTTTAGAGCAGCTTTCAGAGGTAGTTTCGATAGAACCCTTTTCATTTCATGTTATATACAAATGTATTTTTATTTTTTAATGAGATATTGGTTTGGTTAATATATCGTTTGATCACCGTTGTTTTGAAGTGTTACTCTAAAAGTACAAGGAAGTGGAGATTCGGAGTAGTGAGAACAAAGAGATGGATTTTTAAAATAATGAATTATAAAATATTAATTAGTCTTGTCTATATATTATATGCAGGGATGGAATTTCATTTTCAACTAGTGGACGAAGGTCTTACAACAACAATTTTTGTATTATGCACAAGGAAGAAGACAAATTTTGGCCAAGTAATCGAGTTTTTATTTATATATCTAATCATAATACTTTATTGCAGGGTTCTGTATGCCTAATTCTTCAAGTTATTCCCTCAATCCCTTCATGTAAACTTATAGAAGAAACATGTGAAAGGATATTCACAATGCATTTTGATTATTGTACAACGGCTTGTAACGACTTCATCTTGCTAGATCAATCAACTTTCTATAACATTTTACAGGTGGGTTTTAAATCTTTTAACTTATTGTATATATATATATATTTTATATTCTGTTTTCATTTGTGTATAAAACAAGTTCATCTTATTGGTATACTTCTAAGACTGTGGGCTGCTTCTCTATATTTTGAGAAATGAACATGTCTTTATAGAGAACATGGTTTTGCAGCATCCGGATTTGACTGTGACTTCTGAAGAGAGAGTTCTTAATGGGATCTTGATGTGGGGCCTACAACCGAGTGAATTATGTAATTGGGAAGTTGTTGACAACATGCTTTCTACTATAACACCACAAGATCTTTTTGGGAAAAGGCTTCAATCTTTAAACATCTTGTTACCTCTCGTGCGCTTTTCATTGTTCCCTTTGTTCTTACTCAAAAAGGTAAATCTTGATTCTTGACTTTTTTTTTTTTAAATGTTTTTGGGTTTTGATTTTGTAATGTTGTTTCAGATGGAATGTAGCAATCTAAGCATGAAAATCCCGAGTTTTCATGATTTGGTGAAAGAGGCAATTGGGTTCTTGGAAGTGGGATTGCCTACTTCAGGGAATAATCCAAAGTATGTGTACGTGAATATTTTAATATTAACTTTATCTTTATTTCCAAAAGTTGAGTAATTTTAAAATCTTTTTTTTTTCGATTGTTAAGGTTTCAACATAGGCAATCGAGTTTTAAGGAGCTCCAATACATACGTGATGGAGATAGCAATGGGGTTGTATATTATGTGGGGACATCATATGGGAAACACCAATGGGTTAATCCTGTTCTAGCTAAGGTAAAATTTTACATCTTTTGATCATTTTTTTTAAATATGAAAAAGGAAAAAAAAAAAAAAAAAAAAAAAGGAATTGATTTTACATTATCTTTGAATAATTCAATTTTTTTTTTTGTATTCAGAAAATCAGCATTACAGCTAGCAATCCTATTTCAAGATACACAGATCCCAAGGTCTTGGCTTCACGAACCTACCAGGTACCACAATCAGTATAATCTTTTGATCATTTGACTAATTTACCCCCGGGTATAACCAAAATTATATGATGGAAACTAAGGGTAATTTTGGAACAGGGAACTTCTTTTGCTGGGCCCCGCATTGAGGATGGGAAGAACTGTTCATGGTGGATGATTGACCTTGGTCTCGATCACCAGGTTTACTTTAATACTTATCTCAAATGAAAATATACATAATATTATAATATTATAATGTACGTATATTATGTATATATATTTTGTATATTGCCAACCTTATTTTATTTTCTGATTTGAAACAGCTCATGTGCAACTATTACACTTTGAGACAAGATGGATCAAAGGCTTTTGTGAGATACTGGAATTTTCAGGTACACTTGTTTTGACTTTTGACTATAGAAATCAAATTGTGTAATGTCAATTTTGTATATGAAAAGTCAAGTGTTACACGTGTTGACTATATTTATAACACTTAGGGTTCATCGGATGCTAAAAATTGGACAAATTTGAGAGTACATGAGAATGACCAAACAATAAGCAAGCCTGGGCAGTTTGCTTCATGGGCAGTTACGGGGCCCAATGCATTGCTCCCATTTAGATACTTCAGGGTTGCTCTAGTGGGTCCCACAACAGACGATATCAACCCATGGACACTTTGCATTTGCTTCTTGGAACTCTATGGTTACTTCCATTAAATTCTCAAAAGAGTCTTGTTGTTGTAGATATTCTTTTTTGCAGTGTTGTTAGTTTATTTGTAACCGAGATTAGGCCTCCATGTAACGTTTGCTCTCCCATTTTGATCTTGTGTTGTTGTATCAATTCGTGTTCTTGTTTGTTGTGAATCTTTGAAGAATAATATATAATATGCTTATGTTGTTGGATTCCTTCAAGAGCTTTGCATGCTTTGAGTGAAGGAAACAAAGTTCTTGTTTCTTGAGAAAATGCTAGAAAAATGGAATTTGTGTTCATATAAATATGCGACCTTGATCAATACGGTTCCTAATTTTTGGGTTCAACTAGTTTAGTTTTCACCATGTAACTGGCCATAATTTTTTAACAAAATAAAAAGTTTTAAAACCAAAGAACACCCGGGAGATAGAACTATAGATGAAGATCATAATCTGAATCGGTTTGACCAAAACTGATTCTTGAAAATTATAGAAAATGTTGTGATTGTACGTTTCTTCAAATTGTTGTTAATACGAGGCTCGGGGTTTGAGGGTTGAATGATAAAACTTTATTAAAACAAGACTAGCAAGGAGTTAATATGCAACAATTACAAATACGGAATAGAAAGAGATAGATTATACAACCAACCGAACCCTATTCAATTTTACATTTAGAGCTCCTGTTAACAATCCAAATATAAGAATGAGTAATACTCTTATAAAAAATCTGAGACTTCTTTGGTTTTCTTATCCTAAAAGTTGTATTGTTCTGAAATGTCCAAATAACCCAAATGACCGTGATAACAATACATCAAAACACCTGAGCTGGTTCGTATTGAAATTAGTTGAGTCTGTACATTTGATCATTTCTTCCACCAAATTATGCCTCGGAATAGAGATGTCCCACCAAGTACTACAAATGTGACCAAATAGACGCAACCTCTTTGTTGGAATGGGTCATTTGGAGGGATTGATGTTGACTCGGTCTTTGTCATTTTTTGTAACTCACACAAACTTAACATTTGAAGGGATTGATGTTAACTCGATGCTTTGTCCTTTCTTCCACCCGACTTGAGAAGAAGTTGATCAAGACTCTCCAAGTCAACATCAACACCTTCACCAACTTGACTTTTGTTAGGCATTCCATTTATAATCATCCTCCAAGCCATAAGATTGAGCTTGATGGAATAAATTTGTTCCAGGTGATTGAGTTACTACTCATAGGTAGACTTGCAATCCGTGTCTGTGTGCCTTCTTACACGACACGAATTTGACGAACACAAACACGACACGAATTGTAGAACGTGTCTTGGGTATCAAACACTAACACGACACGTAATTAATCCATATGACACATGACACAACACAAATAAACACGTTTTTGATTGAGTTACAAATACACAGATAAACACAAATTTAATTCATGTATATACATGTTTGTACGTGTATATATGCTTTTATACGTGTTAATACGTGTCATGTGTAGCATTTTTATACGTGTAGCCGCATGTCAACACATATTTAATTCGTGTTTAAACAGATAGCGCAAGACACAAAATACAAATTTTAAATTTATGTCGACACGAAACATGAATTTCTAAAACACATACACGGAAAACTCATTTCGTGTATCAAATTGTTAGGTCTACCCCATAGGCAAAATTGTGTTATATACAAAGCCTCACACAAAAGACACCAAAGGAATCCAAACTCCAAATCCACATGTCTCTTTGATCCGAGATGAAAAACATGAAACGACTATAACATAGCTTACATATCTTTCTTCTTCTTAGCATAAGTTTCTCAAGCTAATTTTAAAACAAATACAACGGACAAAATTTATCGGTGTTTCACCAAAAAATAAAAATAAAAAATAGAGAAAATTACAAATATAACCAAAACCGATAATTACTTTGTAGAAAATAGCAAAAAAAAACTCAATTACAAAAATAGCCTACAAAATCGCAGATGGACTTAGTCCATCTGCGATTTGACAAAGCCATCTGCGAACGTACAAGTCGCTAAAGCACATCCATGCTTTAGCGACTTGTACGTTCGCAGATGGACTAGTCCATCTGCTATTTCACATTCAATTTGCGATTTCACCTTTTTCGTATGTATAAAAACGTAATTTTTTTTGTTTGTTTCATTTTTTACACTTTTCGTTGAAGAACTCTCTCTCTGGTAGCACTATGGACAATTTGACAAAACAAATATTAATTCATTTTATTAAAAAGATTTTAAACAAAATTTTCAAAGAAATTACAACAAAAGTGATAATTTTTGGCAATAATTTATATATAATATGGTTGTTTCATAGTCAAATCCTATTAATTTCAGAGTTAAAAATTAAAAAAAAAAAAGAACGAAATCGTAGATGAACTGAGAGGAAATCGCAGATGAACTTAGTTCATCTGCGATTTTAGTCACTTGTACCCCCTATTTATACCATAAAAAAATAATAAATAAAAATAAAAAAATCATCTGCGAACGTACAAGTCGCTAAAGCACGAATGTGCTTTAGCGACTTGTACGTTCGCAGATGGCTTAGTAAAATCGTAGATGGGCTTAGGGCCTGTTTGTTTGCATCTTAATACCTCTTAATAAGGGGTAGGTCTGAATCTTTAAGATTCAGGCCGTTTGTTTAGCTCTTAAATTTTGGTTTGAATATGAATTTTAGCACTTACCGAATCAGATTTGAAACTCCATTTGAAAAAATAAAAGACGCGTTATGCCCTTAACCCCAAAACACGTTCTCTCTTTCTCGCCCCCTTCTCCTCCTTCTCACCCGCTTCTTCTCCTTCACCGATCTCCAATAATCGTCCGCTTCCTCCGATCTACAACACCGCCTCCGACATCGTCGCCGTCTCCGACATCGTCGCTGGCAGCCAAGCCCTTCGGCTCCCTCATCGACGCCGATTCTCTTCCACCCCTTTCTCCTCCTCCTCTGATTCTGTCTGCATCCATTCGGTCGGCAACGTCGCCGCCGCCGCCCCTGCCGACTTCGCATCCGCCTCCGATTGCTTCACAAGTGCCGCCTTCACCTCCGGTATCTTCTGCAGGTAACATTTTCTTTTTCTCTTGTTATGTAATTCGAGTTTAATGCTTAAAAATCTAGTGTGTTTCCCTGTAATTCGAATGTGTTTCTGTTAAGTGGAGTTTATTTACGATTTAATTACAAGTAAAAGGTGGTCTAAATGAAGACTGTAAATAGAATCTTTATGATATCTATTGGTTTCATTCCTGTGGCCTATGTAAACTGAAATATGTAGGTTTCATTCCTTAATTGAATCCCTGTGGCCTATGTAAACTGAAATATGCAGGTTTCATTCCTTAATTGTGAAAACCAACAAGGTTCAAATTAATGGATAATATGTAAACTCCAAAAACAAATATTGAAATTCCTCTCAATCATCAATTCTTTCTTTCAAGTTTTGAATAACAAACAACATATTGCTAGCACTGGTTATGGTCATCTGCATCCTTAAGAGGAATTGATCATATTCAAAAATACAATATCTTAATAGAATTTGATCATATTCAAATATAAAAATACTTCATAAGCCTCATAGATTGCGCTGCTTGTTTATGTAGATAGAAAGAAAGAAAGATCCATGATAGTGTTATGTTTGATTTGGATTTATGTTTAATCTGGATTTTATATGGTGTTTGTAAATTTTTTATAATTATTCAATAAGTTGATTCAGTTATTTTATAAAAAAAACGTTAAATTTAGCAAAAATAACATAGAAGGGTAAAATGGTAATTTTTATAATTCAACACTGCAATTCAGAGGTTCCAACCAAACAGCATTTGAAAATTCAGATCTTAAAAATTCAGACCCTCTTAGAAATTCAGACCTCTTAAAAATTCAGCTCTTATAAAATCAGATCCTGCCAAACAGCCCCTTAATCCCTCTGCAATTTTGATGGCTATTTTTGTAATTTGAATTTTTTTTTGGTTATTTTTACAAAGTAATTAACTATTTTGGTTATATTTGTAATTTTCACTTAAAAAAAAATACTAACATACAGTAGTTTTTTTATGGAATTTGATATTTAAAAAATAAAATTTTAATCGTCCATTTCTACAACTTGATTTGGTTTTTCAACTTCATTGGGGTTTTCGGGGTTTTTTCTATACCCTATTGACAGGACGTCAAAACCGACGGCAACTGCTAACACCAAACGGGTCTTGTCGGGTTACGCTTCGGGTCTTCCTGATTATCATTAGCAAGCAAACCTCTTTCCGTATTTCAAACTGCAAATCCAGAATTGGAGATTTAGGGCTTTTGAATTTTGATCTGAAAATGTCGCAACCGCGGAATACGAACTTGTATAGTATAATAGTGCCAACTTACAACGAACGACTCAATATCGCTCTCATCGTCTACCTCGTCTTCAAGCATATCCCGTAAGTTACATCCCTCTCTATATGTATCATGTTTTGATCTGTGTGATGGATTGATTTGGGATTCTGCAAGTTAACTGCAAATCCATGGCTTGGAAAATTGGGGGAACATCTGCATAGAAAATTTCGAACTAAATTAACCTAGATTTTAATTCTAAACCTTAGAGATCATTCCTTTGAACTCTACATAAATACTATTTCGTTGCTTGCTAAACTTAAATTGGGATGCTTGTCTAATTTTCTGTAAGATCTATGTATGTAGTTTCCACATGCCATATGAACGCGATTCTACCAATTTATTCATTTCTTGATCAAAAGCATACCAAAACAAGCAATACACTAGATTAATTTCAGTAATTTCTCAAAATCACAACTTTTCAACAAGGGAAACATTAACTCAACTTTGGAGAAATACTAGCAATGACTTTAGCTTCCTTACCAGTTACCAATGTTTTCTCCTTGTCTTTTTTTTATGGAAACTGAATTCCAGTTTGCATGAATGCCTGCTTAGTGCTTAAGAGATCTTTCCTTCAGTTTTGTAGCTATCTTCTATTAAACTCTCCTCAAAATTAAGTGTCTGCTACATGGCCATTATCATTAGCTCAAACTGTGAATTTTGTTAACAGATTTTACACCCAATCCTCACTTCATTGTTGTTTTCAAATCATGACATATTGTTATACTTTCAGGGACATTAACTTTGAATTAATCATTGTGGATGATGGTAGTCCTGATGGAACTCAAGATATTGTCAAGCAACTACAGCAAGTCTATGGTGAAGATCGCATTGTATGTACACTACTTTTTTTATTTTTTTATCTCTCATTTACATGCTAATAAGTCCTAATTTTGTTATCTTCTCAATGCAGCTATTAAGATCTAGGCCCAGAAAGCTCGGATTAGGTATCTCCTTATTTGTTTAAGTAAAACTTCAGATTATAAATTTATAAGCATGAATTAACCTAATTTTCTTTGTTAACCAGGGACTGCTTACATTCATGGTCTGAAACATGCTTCTGGGAATTTTGTCATAATAATGGATGCTGATCTGTCACACCATGTAAGTAATTTGTTTAAGCCTTAAAGTCATTATAGTAAATTCCACTTTCTGCCCACTAATCAATCTGTTTTGTGGTTTCTTTCTTATGTAAATCTATCTACACAGCCAAAGTATCTTCCACAGTTTATAAAGTAAGAAACTTTCACAAATCTTGATGTTGAAATTCGTTTCCATTTCCTAAAATTTACAACAAGGGGCATAATAAATTCAGGAAACAAATGGAGACAGGGGCGAGTATTGTTACTGGGACCCGCTATGTGACAGGTGGCGGTGTGCATGGTTGGACACTTATGCGCAAATTGACAAGTAGAGGGGCGAATGTTCTTGCACATACGCTTCTTTGGCCTGGTGTATCTGACTTGACAGGGTCGTTTCGGTAAATAATCTTGAAACATCAAATTTATCTACTTTTACAGTTTTTACCATTTAACATTTTAAATTATATATATATATTTTTTACTTGTATGGTGTAGTCTTTATAAAAAATCTGTGCTTGAAGACATTATAAGCTCTTGTGTGAGCAAAGGGTATGTTTTCCAAATGGAGATGATTGTTCGAGCATCAAGAAAAGGATACCATATTGAAGAGGTTCTTTTTCTTTATTTCTTTTTTCCTTATTAAAGTTGGATAGGAATTTACTAATTTGGATCCTGTTTGGATGTTTTAGGTTCCGATTACTTTTGTTGACAGAGTTTATGGAAGTTCAAAGCTTGGTGGATCAGAAATAGTGGAGTACTTGAAGGGTCTTGTGTATCTTCTGTTTACAACATAAAGAAAGTAGGCTTAATACTATATTCTATATGATTGATAATCACACAGGAATTGCTTCTTGATTCTTATATCTAGTTGACAAGTACATTTGACTCATATCCCTTGCTTTCCTTAACCAATTGAATACCCATTTTGTAGCATTTTTATGAGAGAAATTTCCATATACTACTTGATTTTGATTTTGGGTTATTTTACTGTGAAACACATTTGTTTTAAAGATCTTTTGAAAGTTCATGGTGCTAATTACTCCTGATTTAGTCGGCTATATTTGATTTTACGTTTTTTGGTGAAATATATTAAACATGTGGTGTCCACATGGCAACTAATTATGTGGACAAGTCATTTATTACATCCCAAATTAAATTAAGGATTTAAGGTTCATTTGGTGAGCCTCAGCCCTCCATTACGCCACATTATTCCCAATCTTTCTTAATTGCAATCGATCATGGCAGAAGAGGCAATTTCGATCATGGATGTTCGCTATATTGACATGTTCACAACTACCCCATTGATGTATTTTGACCCAACCAGAGCATTTGTACAAGATATTGATGTGAACAAGATGAACTTCTTTGATTTCATCATATTTCTTGTCTCTGATTTCATCATATTTCTTGAAATAATTATCAACTGCTTTTGCAAAAATGTGTATTACTGTGTGTCTTAAGTAAGTTTGGCTGAGCGGTTTCATGTCATACATAATGAGTACAACTTTAATAAGTTTCTTTGAAGTTGCTAATGAAAATAAGAGGTTGAATGTGTATGTGGACCACCTACATAAACCTTTGTTTGATTGGATTCAGGAGGAAGAACCAGACCCTAAAGATGATACGATTTCTATAGAAGATGTTGACTCTATTTTAGCAGATTGTGTGAAAGGTGAACATGAAAATGATGTGAAAGTTATATCTGTGTGTATGTGTGCGTGTATTTTATTAGGTTTTAAATTTATCAAATCCTAATTTATTGCACCTAAACTAATACACATTATAGACAACGAACATTATTGTATAGCAGTATAGTTTTATAAACAAGGGTGTCAACCTCAAGATATGAATTATTTATTTATTTATTTATTATTATAGGTCATTTTAAATCTACAAAAGCAAATGAAAAATGGGTTATAATAATAAAACTCAATCAATAACTAAACCAAGAGATAAACTGATCGTAAATAAATAACTTCATGGACTTTGACTTAGACTCGATTATACCTCAAAATCATGATTAAATATTAAAGTGCAACGGTTATTTATTCATTATTCATCAATTTCTATTGTAATTAGTTATCTTGGTTGGATTAACACATTGATCATGCAATTAATCATCCAAACAATTATAATTATATTATGAATTGTGAGAGGTTTGATCGGAGATTTAACTTCAATAGTCATGAAAGTTAATAAATAGAATAAGTTGGCCAACAAACGCTCTCTTACACAATGAAATTACAATTATATCACCTAATCTAGGTTTTGGTCAGAACACTAGTCATAATTACTTTATGATCATAAAATAACTATGATTCAAGTTAATAATACCATATTAGTTGTCTAAATTCTACTAACTCAAGAATAGGTAATAAAAATATTGGTTTATCCTTTTATGTAATTATAGGACTTATTTTTTCCTTTTAGAAATGACTTTGTTTAAAGTAAATATTTTGGGCATATAAGACTCTTTGTTTGAGTTGGGTTAATAAATCCAAGTGCTTTATGTATTTTGATTGTTTTCTTGGAGAATTGATTCGAGTAAGTTGAATTATCATCATTTGTTTTAACGAATTGACCATCTGATAACTCATTAGAAAAATCTATTGTCTAATTTATTTTGATGTGTGTTCAGATTGAAAACTCTTTCAATATTTGATCGAATGTATGGTGAGTTTGAACCCTGTGGTATTTTATTGTTTACAACTCACTAGTTTTCAATCTTAATTAAGTTTACTTTATTGGGACAAAATTATTTTTCCGCAAACATAAACTTTGAACTTTTAGGAACTACAAATGTTTTTCTTAAGTATGTTTTCAAATTAGCCCTATCGAGAGATGTTACACGAGTTATCCTCACTATTTTGTTGACTTGTTGCGTCTAATCTCTAACATACATTACCAATACATTCATTGACTAAAACTAATTAAACGTACCATGTAATTATCAATCGAGAGAATCATTTACAAGAAGATAAAATATGTGTTAACTCGTATGCATTTTTTATTATATAATTATGATAAGATAGGCATAAAGATGACCATTGATTATTACGCCACATATATAAAATTAACGAGCTTATGCAGCCAAAAGTTGAACCACTGAATGAAACAAGGGAGGAGGCTGTCACGCAACCTTCCAACGGAACATCCAATGTGTTGCATAAAGATTTTCTTGTTTGAGTGTTTCCAAATTCCCATAAAAACAAGATTCGCGGATGTAGCGATCCAAGCGGCAGTCTAGACAATAAAGGTGGCTGTTGGCATCTATCTAATCATCAACAAAAATGATACTCAAAACGATAGCGACTGTTGATATTTTTTCATATAAACTTTGGCCCATATATGCATGGTGCTCGTAGTGGTGGCGCATCGGCTGTGCTGCTGTCATGGTGTTTGAGCAGCATGCTAGTGGTATACGCCATCAATCGCATGCTTCTTGCATTTGCCACCACCACGTTCGTCGTAACAGTTGAATAATCATTATAATTTATAAATCAGTACTTAATTGCCATTGATGCTGACAACAGAAGAAGTTTGTAATAAACTAATTCGTCAAAGACTTAATTTTTAAATCTAGTGATTAATTAAGAAACAGACATTTCAGCCGGCCCCAATGGACGTTTCGCTTGATCTATCTTCACTTATTTAACAACTCTTCACTTAATCACTCCTCTTTATAAAAATCCAATTTGGTGTCAGTGTGTTCTATAATTCTACCAAGCCAAAAAGAATGACGAGAGTCGAGATCATTTCTAGAGAGAACATAAAACCATCTTCCCCAACACCACTACACCTGAAATCATACAATCTTTCCATCTTAGATCAGCTCATTCCTGCCCCTTATGCACCCATCATACTATACTATCCAAATCAAGATCAAGCCAGTGATCTTGAAGTCCAAGAACGATTGAAATCTTTAAAGATTTCATTATCCAAAACATTAACACGCTTCTATCCTTTAGCGGGGACTATAAAGGACGACCTTTCTATTGATTGTACAGACGTTGGTGCTTACTTTGCAGTGGCTCATGTTGATGCTTATCTTGATGAGTTCCTGAATCATCCAGATTTCGATCTGATCAACCGGTTTCTTCCATGTGAACCTAGTTTCAATGGGAGTAACGAAGGAAGTCATGTGAGTAACATTCAAGTTAACATTTTTGAATGTGGTGGGATCGCTATCAGTTTGTGTATTTCACACAAGATTCTTGATGGTGCTGCGTTGAATACTTTCCTAAGAGGGTGGGCCGGGACTTGTTGTGGGTCGAAAGAAGTTGTGTACCCAAACATGAACACGAGCTCTTTGTTTCCCGCAAAAGATTTATGGCTCAAAGATTCATCAATGGTGATGTGGGGTTCATTGTTCAAGATGGGTAAATGTAGCACAAAAAGATTCGTTTTCAGTTCATCAAAACTTGATGCTCTCAAGGCGGAGGCAGTGGGAAACAGGGTGAAACATGCTACACGTGTTGAGGTGGTGTCAGCTTTGCTATGGAAGTGTATGATAGCTGCATCTGAAGAAAAGGCCGGCTTTTGGAAGCCATCTTTGTTAAGCCATGTTGTGAACCTTCGCAAAAGGATATTATCATCACTTTCATTAGAAAATTCCATCGGGAACTTGATTTGGATAGCGGATGCGGAATGTAAAACCGAGTCTGAAATCGGATTAGGAAATCTGGTTGGAAAAGTACGTGATGGGGTGTCGAGAATTGATGGTGAGTTTGTGAAGAACATGCAAGGTGACAAAGGTATAGAAGTGATGGAAGATTCATTGAAAAGGTTGAAAGATTGTGGGGATTATGTTGGGTTTACGAGTTGGTGTAAGATGGGGTTTTATCAAGTGGATTTTGGTTGGGGAAAGCCGATGTGGGTGTGTGGGAGTGTTTCTGATGGTAGTCCGGTTTTTATGAATTTTATTGTTTTGATGGACACGAGATGTGGTGAAGGGATAGAAGCTTGGGTGAGTATGGATGAACAAGAAATGCATATTTTAAAACAAAACTCCGAGCTCTTGGAGTTTGCATCACTTGATCCGAGTCCTCTAGACATGAACAAGTGATCAAAGCTGCTATATATGAACCACCGAGCGATTTAGTTGTGGGTCTGCAGGGTCCATATAAACTAGTCATATTTTCTACTTTTTTGTGTTTAGATGCATCGATAGATGTTTTCTAAGTCTTGATCACTTGTAAATAGGTAATTTTCTAACCTTTTAGTTTCGAATTTTGTAAGTTGGCTAAATCTCTAAAATGTCCAACCATTGCTTTGAATACAATGATGCAATGAAAATATCGATAAATATATGTTATTAATAATAAATATATCATTATCATTTAACATGGATAGAACGTTTATGAGATCTTTAAGTAAAGGTGCTGAAAGTTGGAGGACTGGGTTTGGCAAGTTAGAAAGCTGAGGACTTGAAGTAAAGCTACAAAAATGGAGGGCTAGCAGTGGAAGCCTGTCAAAGTTGGAAAAGTAGAGTGTTACCTGATCCGGATTAAGTATAAACAAAGTAGAGTATTGACATTTATGTCTCTCATTATGGTCAAGGACTAGATATTTTGTTGAGCATTTGAGAGAATTCGTCTTCCATTAAAGATACCCACCTAAGTTTTTTTCTTTGTAATCTTATAGTTCTAGTCTTGTAATCAATAAGGTTCACTTCTGTGTATTTGTTTGGTGATAAAAGTTCGGTCGTGTTCTTTGTATACAAAATAAAAGTGTTCTACAAGTTTTTTTGTTAATCAAAACTATTTTGATTAAATTTGTTGAAGGCTTACGTTTCTAAACACTACAAAGCCAATATGACAAGGGTCGAGATCATTCTGAGAGAGCATATAAAACCATCTTCCCCAACACCACCACACCTTAAATCATTCAATCTTTCCATCTTGGATCAACTCATTCCTGCCCCTTACGCACCCCTCATACTATACTCTACCCAAATGATCAAGATCACACCAGTGATCTTGAAGTCCAAGAAAAGTTGAAATCTTTAAAGAATTCGCTATCCAATACATTAACACGATTCTACCCTTTAGCTGGGACAATAAAGGATGACCTTTCTATCGATTGCACAGACATTGGTGCTTACTTTGCAGTGGCTCGTGTGGATGCTTCTCTCGAAGAGTTCTTGAAACATCCTGATTTCGATCTGATCAATCGGTTTCTTCCATGTGAGCCTAGTTTCAATGGGAGCAATGAAGGAAGTCATGTGAGTAACATTCAAGTTAACATTTTTGAGTGTGGTGGAATCGCTATTGGTTTGTGTATTTCACACAAGATTCTTGATGGTGCTGCCTTGAGTACTTTCCTAAGAGGGTGGGCCGGGACTTGTTGTGGGTTGAAAGAAGTTGTGCAACCAAACATGAACACGAGCTCTTTATTTCCCGCAAAAGATTTATGGCTCAAAGATTCATCAATGGTGATGTGGAAATCGTTGTTCAAGATGGGTAAATGTAGTACGAAAAGATTCGTTTTCAGTTCATCAAAACTCGATGCTCTCAAGGAAAAGACAATGGCAAATGGGGTGAGAGTGAAAGATCCTACACGTGTTGAGGTCGTTTCGGGTTTGCTATGGAAATGTGTGATGGCTGCATCAGAAGAAAAGACCGGTTCTTGGAAACCATCTTTGTTAAGCCATGTCGTGAACCTTCGCAAAAGGGTATTATCGTCATTTCCATTAGAAAATTCCATCGGGAACTTGATTTGGATAGCGGATGCGGAATGTAAAACCGAGTCTGAAATCGAATTAGGAAACCTGGTTGGAAAAGTACACGATGGGGTGTCGAGAATCGATAGTGAGTTTGTGAAGGAACTACAAGGTGACAAAGGGAGAGAAATGATGGAAGATTGTTTAAAAAGGTTGAAAGATTGTGGGGATCATGTTGGGTTTACGAGTTGGTGTAAGATGGGGTTTTATGAGGTGGATTTTGGTTGGGGGAAGCCGATGTGGGTGTGTGGGAGTGTTTCTGATGGTAGTCCGGTTTTTATGAATCTTATCATTTTGATTGACACGAGATGTGGTGAAGGGATAGAAGCTTGGGTGTCTATGGATGAACATGAAATCAATATCTTGAAACATAATTTCGAGCTTTTGGAGTTTGCATCACTTGATCCGAGTCCTCTAGAGATGAACAACTGAAGCTAAACTCTATGTGTATGTCATCTTTATTTATATACCTATTATTCTTGTTTCGTGCTTCTCTTTAATTGGATGTGTTATTCTGTATTTTAGTTTTACCAATCCTCATTAAAATATGCTAATTAGAAAAAGTGTCTTTCTTTGTTTTTTGCTCATTCATTTAGTCAACACAATCAATATCGCCAATATCTTATAATCATTGTTAACTAGTAAAACGTTATATCTTGTAACTAGTGTACATTTACATGATTACACTAAAACCTTGGTATGTGCAAATATAACACAAAAGTACACAAACCTCGTATGCATCATGGTGTTCAATACAAAGTACCCAAATTTTTGTATAATTCACTCCTTCACATCATTTTAAACGACCCATGAGCTCACATCCTTAAAAGTCGATATATATACCTGTCCAACACAAAGTACGAAAATTTTAAACATGTAAAAAGCCGTGTTTTAATTTAATTTAACAAGCGAAGATTCTGTGAAACTAACCTCGTGTCACATGTGATTAAGTCTGAGGTTTTTCTGTTAGCTGACCTAGTACTTTTGACCCGTTTAAGGTTTCTACTATATGATTCAAGACTCAAGAGTCTTTCTCATGTACCTCAAAGCAGACCTTAGTGTAGCCCTAGCTTTCCCATCTGGAGTGCACCCATATGATACCATTTCCTCATATACACGTGGAACCTGAAAAAAAAAATTATGTCATACACTTTTTTTTAGTAAAATAACGTTTTTTTTAGCTACATTACAATTTACATACCTCACTAAATTTCTCCACGCGAATTAAAGCTTTCATTAGAGTAGTGTATGTGACAACATCCGGTTTCACACTCTGTAATTGGAAACAATAAAACGGTTATAAGTTTTAAAAAAACATATGATTCTTGGAGTTACAAATTTTTCACTTACATTTTCTTTCATGTATTGTAAAACTGCAAAGGCTTCAACATCTCTTCTATCTTCACCAAATGCATTGATTAATGCATTTAGAGCTAAATTACTCGGCTTCAAACCATCACTTGTCATGATCCTAAACGTATTAGCTGCTTGATTTGATAAACCCTGTTTCATAACATCAATTACATCAACTTAAAATTTTCAAGAAACTTGCTATTTAAGTGAGGAAGATGAGAGCATACCCTTTGTGCATAGGCATTAATCAAGGCGTTATACATGGTCAATGATGGCTTCAAACCAGCAGACTTCATCACCTCTAAGCACTCAATTGCATCTGTATATCTCCCTGATTTTCCATATACATCAATCAGTGTAGTATAAGTAACAACATTTGGCAACAAACCTTCACTCTGCATCTTTCCCAACAAGTGTTTAACATCAACCCATTTCTCCTGTTGCCCAAATGAATTGATCATTATGTTATAAGTGGTTGTACAAGGTAAACACCCTCTTTGCTGCATTTCATCGAACAGGTTCTCTGCTTTCTTGTGATCCCCTGATTTACAGTAACAATCTATGAGTGTGTTCATTGTTACAGTATCTGGCTCAATCCCATCAACTTTCATTCGTTCCACTGTTGCCATTACATGATCAAGGATATTGTATTTTCCAAATGTATCGATCATAACGTTATAGAATTGTCTATCTGGCTTTACTCCACATTTCTGCATCTCTTTTAATACTTTAAATGTTTTTTGCCACTCACCTCTGTCACGATAACTTGCTAAAATCCTACTGAAAACTAATGAGTTTGGCTTTACATTGTTGGATTCCATCTCTTTCAACACGATTCTTGCACTTTCCCATCTACCCACGTTCCCATATGCATCAATCAAAAGGCTATATGTATGATCATCAGGTGAAACCCCATTTTTCTCCATTTCACTTACTATTGACTCTGCATCTTTCAAGCTACCATTTTTAACATACCCTTTTAACACAGCATTGTAAGCTCTGGTTCTGGGTATCACTCCACCTTCTTTAATTTCTTCAAAAATGGCTTCCGCCTCCTCGGCTCTACCCAAATTCCCCAACTGCAAAATCAAAGAGACGACAGTGGAGGTTCTTGGGTTCATCCCTTTCCCTTGAATCACACCTAAGAAGTACATAGCTCTATCGACATCACCTGATTTAGCAAACCCTAAAACTATATCATTCAACAATTGCCCATCTAGCTCGATAGCATCTGATATCATTTCAGCGTACAATTTCTCCAACAACACTGAATCAATTTTATTACTACGAACTAAAGACTGAATAATTAAGCTGTAATTCACAAAATCTGATTGGTAACCTTCCCGCCGCATCCTGTTCATCAAATTGATGGCTTTCTCCAACTCATCGTTACGCGCGCATGCACCAATCAGTGCATTATACGTAATGGGAGTCATCGTTTGTTTCTGAGATAACAAAAAAGCTTCGTATAGCTTCTTGGAGCGTCCGAGGGCATGGATTAAAATTGAGTAGAGCAGTTCATATGAGAAACAGAGATTATGCTTCTGGAGCCAAGTAACGAGGGCGTATGCGATTTCGAAAGAGGATGTTGAAGAAGATGTCAGGAATTTGAGAAGGGAGTGCCATAGTGGACCTGGGACTACTCGGTATGACTCAGCGAGCCGTAGCTCGGTCTGGTCGAGTGACGTGGGTGAGTTGGAATCGGATGTTTCGGAGTCCGAATTGTAGGTGGAGAGGAACTGGAGGAGGGGAGAGAAGTCGTACCTGCGGTGGGGGTAGAGGGAAACGACGGCATCTTGTGTAATCGTGTCATCTTCGGATAAGAAGGGGGAAGAGGAAAAGGAGGGTGATGCACGGAGATGTGAGTGGCTTATGTGAAAGGTAGAGGAGGAGAGCGATTGTGGCAGTGGTTGGTAGAGGTTCCGGTGGCGGAGGAAGCGGTTGGTGGTGGATAAGGGTGGAGGGAGGAGGAGAGCGTTCATTTTGCGCAGGTTCTTGAGAACTGTTGGGTGGTGGGAAAAACAGGATGGGCATTATAAAGCAGAGGGCACCAGAATGATTATGTAATTTCACACCCTTCAATACATGAGGTACATGGGGAATTTATACAAGTAGAGTACAGCTGAAACCTACATATACGGATACACTACTAAGGTAACTTGACTAGACTAGGTCTACAATTGAAAACATGAATACACATGTGATAAATGATTTTTGACCGTTATTACCCCCGGCAAGCTCATGTGAGGGACGAACTTGGAGCTTGGTACATAATGAACGGAACTGGTCTTTGTGAAGAGTTTTGGTAAATATATCTGCATGTTGGTCAACTGATAAGACATGACTAATGTGGAGTTCTTTTGCTTCAACCTGTTCTTTGACAAAATGAAAGTCAAGGGCAATATGCTTGGATCTGGTGCGAATAATTGGATTTTAAGTCATGAAGATCGTGCCAACATTGTCACATAGGATTAGAGGAGCACAAGTAATTGGCGCATGAAGTTCAAAGAGTAGTTGCTTGAGCCAAATTAATTCAGCAGCTGTGTATGCCAATGCTCTGTATTCAGCCTCAGTACTTGAGCGAGCAACTACCTTTTGTTTGCGGGATGTCCAACTTATGAGATTGATATATAGCAAATCCATATTGTGATCGACTATCATCAGCATCAGATATCCATCCAGTATCAGAAAAAGCTAGAAGAGAAGTCTTGGTAGTTGGAGAGAAGTGTAAGCAATGAGTGATAGTGCCTTGTAGATAACGCAAGATCCTTTTTACTGCTTGCCAATGAAGGGTAGTGGGGGCATGCATATATTGGCAAACCCGATTGACCGCAAAAGTAATGTCTGGACGAGTGATGGTGGCGTATTGAAGCGAGCCAACAACCTGTCTGTAAAGTTTTGGATCAGCAAATGGGTCACCATAACGAGTAAGTTTGGAATTTGCATCAGCGGGAGTGGAGATGGGAGTGGCAGAGGACATGTGACTCCGATCAAGAATATCACGAAGATATCCTTCTTGACTGAGTGTAAGGCCAGATGTAGTGCGGGTGATTGTAATCCCCAAGAAATAATGAAGATCTCCCAAATCTTTGAGTGCAAATGTAGAATGTAGTTGCTGAATGAATCGCTGTATGAGATGCACATCTGTTCCTGTGATGATGAGGTCGTCAACATACACAAGTATGTAAATGACAACCAATCATGATTTGTGCACGAAGAGGGAGGTGTCTGAGTGGCACGTGCGAAAGCCATGCTCGGTTAGATACGACTTGAGTTTGGTAAACCAGGATCTTGGCGCTTGTTTAAGGCCATAAAGAGCTTTAGTGAGGGGGCATACATGTGTTGGTTTTGTATGATCTTCAAAGCCTCTTGGTTGTCGCATGTAAACAACTTCATGTAAATCACCATTGAGAAACACATTATTGATATCCAGTTGACGAATACACCAGCCCTTAGAAATAGCAAGAGATAAAACCAAACGAATGGTTGTAGGTTTGATAACCGGACTGAAGGTATCAAAGTAATCAACACCCGCTTCTTGACTAAACCCTTGAGCAACCAATCGGGCCTTGTATCTTTCAATTGTGCCATCCCAGTGTTTCTTTATCCTGTAAAGCCATTTGCAACCTACAATATTGACATTAGGAGGACATGGGACAAGGTACCATGTCTTATTTCTCATTAGGGCATCATATTCAATTTGCATAGCCTCTTGCCAACATTTGTGTTTTATGGCTTGACTAAAGTTATGGGGTTCGTGAATCAAGGTTGTGGAGACAGAAGTGAAAGCCTTAGGTTTTAACGAATTTGTTTGAGCTCTTGTAACCATGTGATGTTGATTGTTTTCGGCTTGGCGAAAATGGGAAGGGATAGAAGAAGATTGACGAGCACGAGAGCTTATTGTTGAGTGTCGATAACTAGGGCCTGTAGAGGGGGATGATGGAGCCGGAGATGGAGGGGACGAATTAGGGAGAGAAATAGTTGATAGGTTTTATACAAACAATCCTATGTGTGCATGCAACCCTAATTGGATCTATGTTTTCACTATAAGACATACAACTATATGAACACAAAATAAACCCTAGCATGCTTCTATAATTTTCGAAAATCATATAGAAGTGTAGAAGACATACCTTTGTTGTTATATTGCAATAACAACTAGTTTCCTTGATCTCTTGAACTTTTGAAAGCAAGCACCACAATTGTAGTGCCTCTAATGGCTCACAAACACCTTGAAGCAAGAAGGCAATTAAGAGAGAGAGGGGAAGGATGTTAATTTCGGCCCTAGGGTTTCCCTTGGAATCAAGTGGCCTAAAATTGAAGCATAGGGCATCTATTTATACTGTAGGGTGCTAGGGTTTCAGTCTAAACCCTAATGGATAGCTTAGCCACCAAGCAGCCCAAGGAACCTTCTGGAATGAGGCCCTTGGACGAAAATATGATGATCCCTCATCATAATTTCGTTCCCCCTTAGTCCATAAGGTTTCCCAGCCCAAAACTCAACTATCACACATTTGACAGTTTATACCCCTTTATTTAATTAATCTCTTTTAGTCACCAAATTAATTCCTAATTAATTTATGACTAATACTAATTAAATAAATATGATTTCTCCTTTAATATATTATTCTTATAATATATTAATAAACCATAATATCTTCTCTCTCATATCAAATTACCTTGTCAAGTTGCTTTGGTGAAGGCAACCCAAAAGGACCATGCACACTCGGGTCAAGTACATACCAAATATAGTTACGGACTTAGACACTAATCCAACAGTCTCCCACTTGGATAAGTCTAGTAACCACATCTCACATATGACTTCCGTATCCGATTAGCAATCGTAGCTTTCAATAATCGCTGTCAACTCTGACCAATAATCTGTCCTTCAGATAAGGGATCGTATAATCCTCTGTTCTAGATATCATGCTAACAATACTTATTGTTTAGCATTTTATTTCTTGATCTCTGATTTGTTCGACATAGAACTCAGTTGAACACATCAACTTCATCCTGACCGGGCCCGGCACATAAGTCAAACCAAATCATCAAGTGGCCAAGATATCGCTTTTATTCTCATAGAATAAAAGGAACAGAAAAACGTCGACTAATATGCCTTTATCATTTACTAGTTAAACCACACACAATAATGCGTTTTATAACATCAAGTTACTGATGCGTTTTCGCATTATCAATGTATAATCAACCAGCAAACAATAACCATATCTCTAGGTTTAAAGATTATATGATATTATCATCTTGCGATCACTTGTGATAACATTCATGAAGTGATACCAGCAAGTGTGGGTCTATTCCAATGCTCAATACAAATTTCATAAGCACTCATAAACTTTGCAGCAAACCTTTGCTATGTCTAAAACTTTTCAGACAATCTACAAACAAATTTATGACAATCTTCCTTCATATCTACTTCCAACATATGAACGATTGTGGACTGTTCGAATAATCTTATTATTCAGGAAGTCAAAACATGCAAAATTGAAACAATAGATAAATAATCAACACAAGATAGAAGCTTTCTTATAAATAACACACCTTTATTTAATCATCAAATGTTGAATACATGATCATCCATTACAAGTTTCCTACCTATCTAATCTAAACTAATATCGTCCTTCAGCCCTACGCTCCTAGCGTGCTGCAAATGTTTAACCCTACTCAGTCCCTTCGTGAGGGGATCTGCTGGGTTATCTTCTGACGATACCCTCTTCACAACGAGGAGTCCCTCTTCTACCCGATGTCTAATAAAATGGTATTTCCTGTCGATATGTCGAGATCTGCCATGATCCCTTGGTTCCTTGGTTAAGGCAACCGCTCCTTCATTATCACAGAAAATTTCCATGGGCTCCTTTATGGATGGCACAACTCCAAGGTCTCCAATGAAGTTCTTCAACCATATAGCCTCCTTTGACGCCTCGCTCGCCGCAATGTACTCTGATTCGCACGTTGAATCAGCTACAGTTTCTTGCTTGGAACTTTTCCAAGTCACTGCTCCTCCATTTAGGGTAAAGACCCAGCCCGACTGTGATCGGTAATTATCCCGATCTGTCTGGAAACTAGCGTCACTGTACCCTCGCACCCTTAAGTCATCACTCCCACCGAGGACTAGAAACCATTCCTTGGTCCTTCGTAGGTACTTAAGAATATTCTTGACAGCAATCCAATGTGCCCTACCAGGGTTCCCTTGATATCTGCTGACCATGCTCAAAGCGAAAGCCACATCAGGGCGAGTACAAGTCATAGCGTACATAATCGAGCCAACTGCGGAAGCGTAAGGTACTCGGCTCATATCAGCTATCTCTGCCTCTGTACTCGGGCTCTGAGTCTTACTCAGTTTGGTATTGCATTGGATTGGTAACTCCCCTTTCTTGGAATTTTCCATACTAAAACGTTTTAGTACCTTCTCCAAGTATGTATCCTGACTAAGTCCTATCAGTCTCTTGCTTCTGTCTCTCACTATCCTTATTCCCAGAATATATGCAGCCTCTCCGAGGTCCTTCATAGCGAAACACTTCCCAAGCCAGGACTTGACCTCCTGCAATGTTGGGATGTCGTTTCCTATGAGTAGTATGTCATCGACATACAATACGAGGAAGCTCACTATACTCCCACTGGCCTTGACATATACACATGACTCATCTTCATTTCGCAGAAAACCAAACTCTTTGACCTTCTCGTCAAAACAAAGATTCCACCTGCGAGATGCTTGTTTAATCCATAAATGGATTTCTCAAGCTTGCACACTCTATTTGGATGCTTCGCATTGACAAAACCCTCTGGCTGATTCATGTAAACATCCTCAGCCAGCTTCCCATTTAGGAAAGCGGTTTTTACGTCCATCTGCCAGATTTCATAATCATGAAACGCAGCTATTGCAAGCATTACCCTAATAGACTTTATTTTCGCAACTGGTGAGAAGGTCTCATCATAGTCAACTCCAGGAGTTTGAGTAAAGCCCTTCGCGACCAATCGCGCTTTATAAGTGTGCACTTTCCCATCCATGTCTGTCTTCTTCTTGAAGATCCACTTGCACCCGACTGT